CTTTAAATGAGATAATTACCCATTTAAATTTATCGGCTTATTTATTTATTTATTTTTGAAAGATACATTTGGCTGGGTGTGGTGGCTCATGCCTGTAATCCCAGCACTTTGGGAGGCCAAGGCTTGTGGATCAGCTGAGGTTTCGAGTTCAAGACCAGCCTGACCAGCATGGAGAAACCCCGTCTCTACTAAAAATACAAAATTAGCTGGGCATGGTGGCGCATGTCTGTAATCCCAGCTACATGGGAGGCTGAGGCAGGAGAATCGCTTGAACTGGGGAGTTGGAGATTGCAGTGAGCCAAGATTGCATCATTGCACTCCAGTCTGGGCAACAAGAGCGAAACTCTGTCTTAAAAAAGAAAAGAAAAGGAAAGAAACAGTTGAAGTTAATGTTTTGATCAAATATTTTCTTCTTGGAATATCAAGGGATTCTTACACCATAAATTATTAGATTATGCTAAATCACTTATCAAATTTATATACTGTTTTCATGAGACTGTCTAAAAAGTAATTTATGAAACAGAGATGTTGACACATAAGGGTTCCATGTTACTGACTTTTGGAAGAAAAGTTTAGATATGCTGATGTCATGTAGATGCAGGTTTGGTTTTAAATCTGAAGCATAGGCCGGGCGCGGTGGCTCACACCTGTAATCCCAGCACTTTGGGAGGCTGAGGCAGGTGGATCACGAGGTCAGGAGTTCAAGACCAGCCTGGCCAAGATGGTGAAACCCCATCTCTACTATAAAAGTACAAAAATTAGCCGGGCGTGGTGGCGGGAGCCTGTAATCCCAGCTACTCAGGAGGCTGAGGCAGAGAATTGCTTGAACCGAGGAGGCGGAGGTTGTAGTGAGCCGAGATCACGTCGCTACACTCAAGCCTGGGCGACAGAGCGAGACTCTGTCTCAAAAAAAAAAAAAAAAAAAAAAAAAAAAAATCTGAAGCATAAAATGTTTCTTCAGAAAAGCAGACACAGCTTATACTAATTCACCATTATTAATCTCCTGTAGTTTAGCTCTCTGTCTTGGAGAACTGGAAACATCATAGTCATTGACCTAGATACATGAGACTTTGCATTTCATTTATTCAGGACTGCAACATTTTGAATATAGATGATTTTGAAACTCCCTATTTACTATTTACTAAGTGATGATGTACTTTTCAGGTGGCTAGCCGCCTGCGTTATGTCCCATTATTAAGGTAATCCAGGAAGTTGCTTAGCATAGAATTGTGTAACAAGAATTTCATCTAGGCAATAGAAACCAGTTTATCCTCAACTCATACCTAGTGACCAGAACAAGAGGCCTGTAACTCTGCAGTCCGGACCAGTAGTTGCTATTTACTTTTCCAGTGATGCGAGACAAACCCTTAACATTTTTATTTAACTTAAAAACTTACACTCACTTGCCAGTCTTGATAGATGGCCGGTGCCTTTGGTTGCCATAGATCCTCTGTAAGCCTCCAATCTTGAATAAAATACAAAGGTTTTGAAATCTGATTTGTAGTTTCTCTGTTTAAAGTGGAATTTGAACTTAGAGACCCTTGCATGCACTTTTGGATTTTTAATTTTCTTTTTCTGATTTTCTATAAAGTCTCATCTGGGTATAATTTGATAATGTAATAGCTCCCCCCGCCTTTTTTTTTTTTTTTTTTTTTTGAGATAGTCTCATTCCATCGCCCAGGCTGGAGTGCAGTGGCATGATCACAGCTCACTGTAGTCTCGGCCTCCTGGGCTCAGGTGATCCTTTCCACCACAGCCTCCTGAGTAGTTGGGATTACGGGCACGTGTTACCATGCATGGCTAATTTCTGTATTTTTTGTAGAGGGGGTTTTGTCATGTTGCCCAGGCTGTTCTCAGACTCCTTAGTTCAAGAAATCTGCCCACCTTGGCCTCCCAAAGTGCTAGGATGGGATTACAGGTTGAGCCACCATGCCTGGCCTGGAATGCTGCTTTTCTAATGAGGGGGTTCTATGCCTAAATAGATATTCTCTTTTAACTCAGCATTTTGGGGGCTTGAGAGAAAGGTGGGAGTTGCTGAACTGTCAGCTTGAAACTTGCCAGTTTGGAAAAGTTGAGTTCCTGGTAACTTAGTCAAATAGGAGAGGACTTCTGTGCTGGCTGTGAACTCTTAAAGGCCAGCAGCTCCTGGCAGCAGGGAGGCAGCAGGGCAGATAGAGGTGCTGGCATGCATTAAAAAAAAAAAAAAATCGTTATGGCTCTTGCCTGTAATCCCAGTTGGGAGGCCAAGGTGGAAAGATCACTTGAGCCCAGGGTTTCGAGATCTATCTAGGCAACATGACAAGACCCCACCTCTATAAAATAATACAAAAATCAGACTGGACAGGGTGGCTTACACCTGTAATCCCAGCACTTTGGGAGGCCAAGGCAGGCAGATCACTTGAGGTCAGGAGTTTGAGATCAGTCTGGCCAACATGGTGAAACTCCATCTCTACTAAAAATACAAAAATTAGCCAGGTATGGTGGTGCACGCTTGTAATCCCAACTGCTTGGGAAGCTGAGGCAGGAGAATCACTTGAACCCAGGAGGTTGCAGAGAGCCAAGACCATGCCACTGCACTCCAGCCTGGATGACAGGGTGAGACTCCATTAAAAAAAAAAAAAAAAAAAAAGTACAAAATTAAGACAGGCCTGGTGGTGGGTGCCTGTATTCATTCCCAACTGCTTGGGAAGCTGGAGTGAGAGGATCACTTGAGCCCGGGAAGTGAAGGCTGCAGTCAGCAGGGATTGTGCCACTGCACTCCAACCTGGATGTTCGAGTGAGACCCTGTCTGTCATCATCCTCTCTATCCACATTGGGAATGAAACTTCATGATAAACCCTATGTGTTTTCCAGGGAGAACTGTTTAAATTTACTTGAAGGCAATATACTAAGATAATTTTGTTGACACTTTTGTTCAGATTGGTTTATTGATTTTTTTTTTTTTATTTTTTTGAGACAGAGTCTCACTCTGTTGCCCTGGCTGAAGTGCAGTGGCACAATCTCAGCTCACTGCAACTTTGCTTCCTAAATTCAAGCAATTCTTGTGCCCCAGCCTCCTGAGTAGCTGGGACTACAGGAATGTGCTACCACACCCAGCTAATTTGTGTATTTTTAGTAGAGATGGGGTTTCACCATGTTGGCCAGGCTGGTCTTGAACCCCTGACCTCAGATATCCGCCCACTTCAGCCTCCCAAAGTGCTGGGATTATAGATGTGAAGTGCTGGGATTATAGGCGTGAGCCACCACGCTCACCTCGAGTTGATTTTTAACTTTAGTGAAGTTCAACATAAGCTAGCCCACAAATATTCTTTTTTTTTTTTTTTTTTGAGACAGAATCTAGCTCTGTCTCAAAATCAGAATCTAGCTCTGTCTCATTTTTTTGAGACAGAATCTAGCTCTGTTGCCCAGGCTGGAGTGTAGTGGCACAATCTCGGCTCACTGCAACCTCCGCCTCCCAGGTTCAAGTGATTCTCTTGCCATGGCCTCCTAAGTAGCTGGGATTACAGGTGCCTGCCACCACACCCGGCTACTTTTTTGTATTTTTAGTAGAGATGGGGTTTCAACATGTTGGCCAGGCTGGTCTTGAACTCCTGACCTCAGGTTATCTGTCCACCTCAGCCTCCCAAAGTACTAGGATTACAGGCATTGAGCCACCGCGCCCGGCCAAGTATTCATTTAAAAGCTGGGTATGTAATACCATCTTTAAATAGTTAAACTCTAGGATACTTGTCTAAGGTAATAGGGTATTTTTGTAACAGTTTGTACATTTCAGTCTTTTTTTTTTTTGAGATGGAGTCTCGCTCTCCAACCAGCCTAGGCTGGTGGTGCAGTGGTGCAGTGTTGGCTCACTGCAACCTCCGCCTCCCAGGTTCAAGTGATTCTCATGCATCAGTCTCCCAAGTAGCTGGGATTACAGGCATGCACCCCCACGCCAGCTAATTTTTGTATTTTTAGTAGAGATGGGGTTTTACCATGTTGGCGAGGTTGGTCTCGAAGTCCTGACCTCAGGTGATCGCCCACCTCGGCCTCCCAAAGTGCTGGGATTATAGGTGTGAGCCACCATGCCCGGCCACATTTCAGTCTTAATACTTGGTAAGGGGTCCATAGACTTTTCCAAATTAAGCGCCAGATAAACATTTTAAGCTTTGAGGGCCACACAGTCTCTGTCGCAACTACTTTGACTCTGCTGTTGCATCACTAAAACAACCATAGACAATATGTAAAAATGAGTAAGTGTGACTCGATTCTAATAATTCCGTCTGTGGACACTGAAATTTGAATTTCACATAATTTTAAAATGTAAAAATACTTTTGACTCGCAGACTGTACAAAAACAGGTGGTGAACTGCAGATTGCCAGTCCTGTTCTAGATCATAAATGATAGCTGCCTGTTAGCAGAATGAAGTGACTTTGGCCCATGTATGCAGGTTTAAAATATGAAGGATGCTTCTTGCCACCTAATCATAACAGTAACAAGCACTCTGTATCAAGAATCGACTTCAGGTGCATTTCCCCATTTCTTTCTCATAAATCTGTTTTCTTCTTAGTATTCTTATTTTCTAGGTGAGGAAACAAGGAAACCTACCTATGGTCATGTCCTTAAATTTGGAATATTCCATAACTAAAGAAACTTATGGGACCATAGATCTCAGTGCATACAGCTCTGGCTAATAAGCCAAGTTTCTGTTTTTATTCTTTGTTAGTATCCAATAATTCGAGAGTTTTACCAATTGAATCTGGTAGTTTAAATTATTTTATTAGATACAGGTGATTTGGTAGTGTGACCATGTTAATGTTAATTCTGATTTCAGAGAGATGGTGTTTAACATAAAGGTTCTTAATTGCATTTTGTGGTATAATGCGTACCCCTAATAATTTTAATTAAATTTTAAAATGGATTAATCTAGAGTAGAGTTACAACCTTGCAGAGGTTTGAGAATGTTGTTTATATATGAAGTGTTTCTCAGGCTGGAAGTATACAGTTGCGGTTCACCTTACAGGTGCTGCTGGTGAGTAGCAGCCGGTACCCAGACCAGTGGATTGTCCCAGGAGGAGGAATGGAACCTGAGGAGGAACCTGGCGGTGCTGCTGTGAGGGAAGTTTATGAGGAGGTGAGATGTTCTTTCACACAAATTCTGTTTCGGAGTTTTAAAACCAAGGCCCTTTGCTACATAACACTAAGACAAGGAGATGGGTGCAGGAGTGCTTTTTGTTGCCTGACACAACTTTAATTTTAATTTTTTTTTCGTTTTTTTTTGAGATGGAGTCTTCCTTTGTTGCTAGGCTGGGGTACAGTGGCATGATCTTGGCTCACTGCCACCTCCGCCTCCCAGGTTCAAGTGATTCTCCAGCCTTCCAAGTAGCTGGGATTATAGGTACATGCCACCGTGTCTGGCTAATTTTTGTATTTTTATTAGAGACAGGGTTTCACCATGTTGGCCAGACTGGTCTCGAACTCCTGACCTCAGGTGATCCACCCGCCTCAGCCTCCCAAAGTGCTGGGGATTATAGGCATGAGCCACTACGCCCGGCCTTAATTTTTGTATTTTTAGTAGGGACAGGGTTTCACCATGTTGGCCAGGCTGGTCTCAAACTCCTGACCTCAAGTGATCCTTCTGCCTCGGCCTCCCAAAGTGCTGGGATTACAGGCATGAGCCATAGTGCCCAGCCAGAAATACTAATTTTTGATCAGTCCTTGCTACTTATGAAGTAAATGACAATAAAAACTTCACAGAAGCAGGAAGATAGTGAGTTGGTATGGGGAGAGGTATTGTATTTAGATTTAAGTAAATAGCCAGAGTATAAGTTGTATTTATATACATTTTGTTATAAAAAGGTAAACATTTTATATTTTATCTTTTTTTAATAGGCTGGAGTCAAAGGAAAACTAGGCAGACTTCTGGGCATATTTGAGGTGAGTTAAAAAGTAATCTTCACTTTGCTGATAATAGAATTAATGATTTCTTCCTAACCAACCAAATAATGTGGCAGCAGCCTGAACCAGACATTTCTGTCAGACTAGCAGTAGGCATCAGTCCAGGATTAGGTAGGAAAGGAAGTAAAAGCCACTTTTTCATATGCCATCACGTTTATTTATTTATTTATTTACTTATATTTTTAATTTTCTTTAAGACAGAGTCTCGCTCTGTCACCAGACTGGAGTGCAGTGGCACAATCTTGGGTCACTGCAACCTCTGCCTCCCGGATTCAAGCGATTCTCCTGTCTCAGCCTCCTGAGTAGCTGGGACTACAGGCACACACCACCACGCCCAGCTAAGTTTTGTATTTTTATTTTATTTTTATTATTTTTTTTTATTTTTGTTTTTTTATTTTTTATTTATTTATTTTTTTTTGAGACGGAGTCTCGCTCTGTTGCCCAGGCTGGAGTGCAGTGGCTGGATCTCAGCTCACTGCAAGCTCTGCCTCCCGGGTTCACGCCATTCTTCTGCCTCAGCCTCCCAAGTAGCTGGGACTACAGGCGCTCGCCACCTCGCCCGGCTGGTTTTTTGTATTTTTTTAGTAGAGACGGGATTTCACCGTGTTAGCCAGGATGGTCTCGATCTCCTGACCTCGTGATCCGCCCGTCTCGGCCTCCCAAAGTGCTGGGATTACAGGCATGCGCCACTACACCTGGCTCAGTTTTGTATTTTTAATAGAGATGGGGTTTCACCATGTTGGCCAGGATGGTCTCCATCTCTTGACCTCATGATCGGCCCACCTTGGCCTCCCAAAGTGCTGGGATTACAGGCGTGAGCCACGGCACCCAGCTGCCATCACTTTTATACAGCATTATTATGTAGCGATTACTTCTGTTTGACAATACAGTGGAGCTGATACTGAAATGTTTCTCTTAATCCACTGTAGACTATTTAGGGTATAGATATTTTAGGAGGTACAATATTTTTAGTATGACCTAAAGGCTTAGGTCTCATGTATTTTATCTGGAAATGTCCCCATTGCGCTTAGCAAATAATATTGTATGATACACACAGTGACTTAAAGGATTGTATGAAAATATAAATCTCAGGTACATAGAACAGATGCTAAAAGAACAGAATTCTCTTTCATATATTCTCTTATTATTGAGGGCAGAATAGAATTTTCAGGGAGGGAATGTGAATGTGATAGGCACTCTTTGGCAGCCAGGGAGAAAGGAGGTCCAGATGTATTTTCATCCAAGATTCAGACCTAGATACATAATATACCAGAAACATGGTCACTTTCCTTTTTTTCAGAGTACTATTTATAGCTTAGTTCAGTCTTTATAGTACTATGAACCATATAAATTTTATTTTTAAGCCTTAGGAATTCAGAAAAAAATCCCGATTCTATAGCACTTGGTAGAATTGATGACTTTTACCAGAATACAGTAATTAAATTATTAAGAGTAAAGTTGACCGGGCGTGGTGGCTCATGCCTGTAATCCCAGCACTTTGGGGAGGCCAAGGCAGGCAGATCACGAGGTCAGGAATTCAAGACCAGCTTGGCCAATATGGTGAAACCCTGTCTCTACTAAATAAATACAAAAATTAGCCGGGCGTGGTGATGCGTGCCTGTAGTACCAGCTACTTGGGAGGCTGAGGCAGAAGAATTCTTGAACCTGGGAGGTGGAGGTTGCAGATCGAGACTCCGTCTCCAAAAAAAAAAAAAAGAGAAAGAGAAAAGTCATTCAGGTAGAATTCAGTCTTTTCCAGAATTCAGCAGTTGCTTCACCCAGTTAAATAGCACCATCTCCTGGTTAAACTGAAAAACATATTGAGGTTTTTACAAATAACACATTTGTCAGTAAGTTGACAAGGTTTTTGAAGAAAACGTCTCACATTATAAATAAAGCTTAAATAATATGGGAAGGTAACAGTATTAAGTGCTTTACAAATACTGTTTACCAGGACATGTCAATCAAAAAATACCTTTCCTCTTAGAAAGTATAAGGGAAAATTGGATTGCCCTGCCCATTCATCCCAGTGATTTTAATGAATTTGTGAATTTAGCATAATAAATATATTGATTTGTCAGACATAGAAATAAAACAACTGATGCTTAAAAATAATGATGTGTTAAGTGACAGTTGCCTCTAATTTATTGTTGTTTTTATTCCTTCTCAGATATAAAAATATAATCCTTCCCAGCTATAAAAACCCACCGTTTTGAGTAGATTATTCAGGTTGTTTGTGGCCAAAATCAGGACCAAGTATCTAAAGTTGTGGACTATGGCAAAGAAGGTTAACTTTAATCAGGATGAAGGAAGGCCAACTTGTTTAATTTTTAACCTAGAAACAAGCTCATGTGCCTGTTTTATGTATTTATGGTTTTTTGTTGTTGTTGTTTTGAGATGGGGTATCATTCTGTCATCCAGGCTGGAGTGCAGTGGCATGATCTGGGCTCATTGCCACGTCCGCCTCCTGGGCTCAAGAGATCCTTCCACTTCAGCCTCCCGAGTAGCTGGGATTACAGGCATGCGCCACCACGCCCAGCTAATATTTTTGTATTTTTAGTAGAGACGGGGTTTCACCATGTTGGACAGGCTGGGCTCGACCTCCTGACCTCAAGTGATCTGCCCGCCTTGACCTCCCAAAGTACTGGGATTATAGACGTGAGCTACTGCGCCAGGCCATGGACTGTTGTTTATGTGCACCTTGACAGGCCTGTAGGAGGAGTGCTTAAAGGAATTGGTGCTGTTTGCTCTTACAAAGGTCCTAAAGGAAGCAGTTTTCCATGGCATTGAAAGGTTGTCAGGAGTAGCCCCAGGGAAGAGGGGGATATCAGATAAAAACTATGGGAATGCAGGTCTGTTATTTTAATAAGATTCCATTCAACTCTTAAGATTTTCTTTATGAAAATAACATCAGATAGACTGGGCACAGTGGCTCACACCTGTAATCCCAGCACTTTGGGAGGCCAAGGAGGGCAGATCATGAGGTCAGGGTCTGAGACCAGCCTGACCAACATGGTGAAACCCTATCTCTACTAAAAATACAAAAATTAGCCAGGCGTGGTGTGGCGCACGCCTGTAATCCCAGCTACTCAGGAGGCTGAGGCAGGAGAATCACTTGAACCCAGGAGGCAGAGATTGTGGTGAGCTGGGATCGAGCCACTGCACTCCAGCCTGGGCGACAGAGTGAGACTCCCTATCTCAAAACGAAAAAAAGAAAATAACATCAGATATATAGAAATCAGTGTTAAAAGTTTAGTACTGGAGGCTGGGTCCTCATAGCTGTAAGCTCAGTTTTTGGAAGGCCAAAGCAGGAGGTTCCCTTGAGGGCAGGAGTGGAGCAGTCTGGGCAACATCTTCAGACTTCTACAAAAAAAAGTAGTATCGAGAGCCGATTTCACCACCAGTAGTGATGACGCTCTAGTTCTAGTCTTCTATCTTTTTAACTTTTAAATGTTTTGTCTTATATAAAATCACTTTCGTGCTGGACTATACAACTGAATATGTTTGTTTGTGCTGGGAAATATGCTATGCTAATCAGCAGTAAGGCAGACTAATTTTTGTCCCTTGGAAAATGTGTCAATGGCTACCTCCTGTAGATTAAAATGCATTTTCTTTTTATATTCAAGCAGAACCAAGACCGAAAGCACAGAACATATGTTTATGTTCTAACAGTCACTGAAATATTAGAAGATTGGGAAGATTCTGTTAATATTGGTAAGTTCCCTTTTGATATCTGAATACTCTGTTCTAACAGAAGGTTGGGAAGATCCTGTTAATATAAGTATTATATTAACTTTTGTTATCTGAATACTCTTAAGTCAGATGCTATATTCCTGTGTCCAGTTTCCATCTTAGATTATTTCTGGTCACTTCATTTAGAGCAGGGAAGGTAATTGAAATGCAGAGATGCACATTCATCTTAGTTCTTCCCCAACATGTTGTTGTCCCAATCATTTGTCAGGGAGTAAGTGGACATTACTTACACGGTTTACTTTTTAAAATGGACTGTCTTGTAACCAATGTCATTCTTTTCTCTAGGAAGGAAGAGAGAGTGGTTCAAAGTAGAAGATGCTATCAAAGTTCTCCAGTGTCATAAACCTGTACATGCAGAGTATCTGGAAAAGCTAAAGCTGGGTTGTTCCCCAGCCAATGGAAATTCTACGGTCCCTTCCCTTCCAGATAATAATGCCTTGTTTGTAACTGCTGCACAGACCTCTGGGTTGCCATCTAGTATAAGATAGAGAGAACTGGGTAGGCCTCTCCCACCATGTGCAGTCTCATGGGGGAGAGGCTTCTTTGTTTTCCTCATCAAACATCTGAATGACGCTTGCAAACTGTCTGAATTTGCCATGCAAGGTTTTCAAACAATTTGCATGTTTTTCAGATGCTTTCAAATCTTTTTTTAAAAAAAAAAATAGTGTAAAATATTTTAATAAGCCAAAGCCATGTGGAATTTTTGTTTAGATGCCTTAACTGTGCCACACCCCGCAAACCCCTATATTATTTTGGTTGTCTGTTTCTCACAGCATATTTTCAATTTTTTGTCCATTTGACATCAGTCTGTGATTTATTTTGTCATCAGATTACTTGTGAGTATACCTCCCCCAAAATTGTTTTCTCATTCACAGCATTAGCATATTCAGCAAATCCATCTGTGGTGGGAACGAAAAATATTATTGGTATTAAAGAAATCCATGCACCCCAAAACTTGTTTTACAGGATTACAATTTTAATTCAGAATTTCCAGATTTGGGCTATCTCTGTATGAGCCACTAACTTATTTTGTCACGGGGCTTAATTTGCCATTTTTGGGGATTTGTCGACTCATTTGTCTGAATTTTCACAACTGGTATTATGTCACTAGCTACCTGATATGCCTATTTCCCTTATAACTCAATAGAACCTTAACACAAAGTATAACTCTATAGAGTTGGTGAATATTTTAGGGAAATATTAGCAAAATGCATGTAGTAAAGACATGAAAACTGTATTCATGGAATTTGGTTTAGCATGCTCAGGTTGCCAGTTCCCATTATCGATACACTTTCTACGCATAATACCTTAGAACCGTGTTTCCCTCAGTGTACATTGCTCTTAAAATGTATTCAGTTATTTAATCTAGTGGCCCCCCGCAGGAGTGGAGTCTTGAAATCTAACTCTAAATGCCAGTCAGTGATGATTGCATCACAGTTGAGTGAAATGGCCTTCCTGTTCAGCTGTTAGAGGCTGAAGATGTTAGGGCACCTTAGAATGTCTCATCTTTTCTAGGTTGTCAACAGGTACTATTTTTCACATAACTAACTTTCGAGGCACTGGAACATACCTGAACTAAGAATTAAATCTTTTACTTTATACTCATTTAAAATCCAGAATCCCATCTAAAACACATAGTAGATACCTTATCTGAAACTCTTGCACTTCCCCAACCAGGGCAGAAATGAGGTGGGAGAAGTTTGACTAAAATGAGGGATGGGGGAAAGTAAAAGATTTTATTTTTTATTTTTTTTTATTTTTGAGACTCCCTTTGTCGCCCAGGCTGGAGTGCAATGGCACGATCTCGACTCACTGCAACCTGTGCCTCCCAGGTTCAAGCGATTCTCCTGCCTCAGCCTCTCGAGTAGCTGGAATTACAGGCACCTCCCACCAGGCCCAGCTAATTTTGTATTTTTAGTAGAGATGGGGTTTCTTCATGTTGGTCAGGCTGGTCTCAAACTCCTAACCTCGTGATCCACCCACCTTGACCTCCCAAAGTGCTGGGATTGCAGGCATGAGCCGCCGCGCCCAGCCAAAGATCTTTTTTTTTATATAGACTTCAGCCCTTTGTAAATATTGTAACTGGGGAGTATAGAATAGAAGAAAGTATAGTTAAAACATTTGTTCTACAAATTAACCTTTAAAAATAAAATTACTGCTAAAAATAGAGTGCTGTTACACTTAAGGAAAATTAGTGCCATTTTGAAAATGAGATCTCGTGCCATAAATACAGCTGAACTAAATATAAACGTTCACAAATTAATGCTGTCAAAGGAATGAGTAAAGCAGAAAAACTTTTAACCAGCAGCATTTCATTCTAAAGTATGTAGTGTGATCAAACATGATCATCCAGAATTTTTATATTTTTTCCTTGTACAGAGGTTACATCTTCTGGGTGTTCTTTTATAAAGGAAACATTTTAAATCCCACAAATTGACGCTTTCTATCTTCAAAGATTTTTTTGGTCAGTAATCTCTGAAATTTCCTTAAATTATATACTTACTATAGCAGAGAAACTGGATTGTTTTTGTATATAAGACTGCTTCCACCTGAAATGCTGTCATAAGTACTGGGGGGTGGGGGAGTGCCTATCTTGTACATGATATTCTTAGAGGTAATAAGGTAATAATGCATGAACTTGTTTTATAAACTCTTGGACTATGTATTTGACATGTAAAATATGTACAGTATTAATGTCAACCATCTCTTTAAAGTTAGCCTATAAATATTGTTGTATAATTTTCTTTGGTCAGAAACATTTGGACTGAATAGTGACACTCGCTAAGGATTTTCAGTGCCATTTAGCAAACCAACTGTCTTTAGTCTATGCAACTAGCAAAAATCTGCATAATGCAACAGTACAGTTTTCACACTTCAAATTTTACATGACGGGTTCTTCACGATTCTCCTGGAACCCAGTCTAGCAAAATTAGAGGAAAGGCCCTAGGGAGATTTATTTCTGTTAAATAGTTAACTCTACTGAGTATAACAAATAGCGTCTACTATCTCAACCCTCCAACATTTGCAGTGTTGGGACTGTCATATGTGATTTCTTTTTGGTGGGGTAGTTGAATAAAATTGGGCAGTTAAATTTCAGTTCCATGTGCCTCCCAAATAAAAAACAGAAAATAAGTAGTTTTTTGTGAATTGACTTGCAGACAAAGTAGGAACTGTCCTGCATGATGTTGTTGTTTTGTAAATGGATGACATTTTCCAACCAAGCACATGCCATCCAATTTTCTGTCAATCATGCTGTTGTATAAAGCAGCAGAACTGAAGGGGAAAAATGATTGTTGTACACACTGAATTGCTTTGCATGGTCTCATTTGAGATAATTGGTGTAAGAATCTTGACTTTTTTATATTTGGAAACATCAAATAAAAATGGAAAAAATGATCATGGCTTTTTGGAAAAAAAACACACACACACACATGAACTCAGATTTGCAAACCAGCTTTCTGAAACTTTGGGTAAGGTGCATGCTTTTAACTTTGAAATGTATAAACACCCAGTGGAAACGTATACCTTTCAGGGCATAGTGCATTATGTGCTCACCATGGGTTGTTTAAACTGTGGTCAAATATTCCCCTTCCAAGTGGAAGCCTGTCGGGAATTCCACAGTAACACCTTTACTGTTCTCCCATTGATGATCATATACATTATCTCTTCCTAGTGGTACATTTGTATGATCCTTACCAGTGGAATTACTGGGTTAAAAGGAACTGCTTACCACTAAGATATCAGTATTCTCCTGATGGATATTTTCCATCTTAATGTTGCCAGTCTAATAGTATAGTATGTGGTTGCTTTACTGCTGTTCTCCCCACCCCCATGGAGTTGTGTCATTATTTTAATGAATATGAGCTCTTGACTTACCCTAGAATTCTAATACATTACAGATACTTTCTGCACTACTATCACTTTTATTATTGCAGTTCCATTTAAAAGCATAAGTGGCTAAGGCACTCCCCACCCCCGCCGGCATTGCATTTCTTAAAATATACTGCTATCCAAGACCAACTGTCGAATCTTCATGTAAAAGTCTTGTTCAAGTGTCATTTATTTTTTATTAGGGTTTTAATAGTTGGAGGGGATGAGAAACTTGGCCCTTTGCAATGTTGCCTTCACTTTGGAGTATAAGAATTCTCTACAGGACTCTACTTTTTTTTAGTAGAGATGGGGTCTGGCTATGTTGCCCAGGCTGGTCTCAAACTCCCAGGCTTAAGCAGTCCTCCAGCCTTAGCCTTCTCAAAAGTGCTAGGATAATTGACATGAGCCACCTCATCTGGCCTACAGGTCTTTTAAAGCATTTGCTGTTCGATAACAAGCATCTTTATGCCTAGTAGTGTGATAAGAGCAAAAAACAAGTTTCTGATCTCAAAGAGTTTATATTCTAGTGGGGTAGAGCTAAGTGATTTACCTTGGTGTGGTTTTTGTTTTGTTTTTTTGAGACAGTCTCGCACTGTCGCCCAGGCTGGAGTGCAGTGGCACAGTCTCGGCTCACTGCAACCTCCACCTCCCGGGTTCGAGCGATTCTCCTGCCTCATCCTCCCTAGTAGCTGGGATTACAGGTGCCTGCCACCACGCCGGGCTAATTTTTTTGTATTTTTAGTAGAGACGGGGTTTCACCTTGTTGGCCAGGATGGTCTCAAATTCCTGACCTTGTGATCTGCCTGCCTCAGCCTCCCAAAGTGCTGGGATTATGGGCATGAGCCACCATGCCCGGCTTATCTTGGTGTTTTTACATCCTTTAGTATTTTTCAAGGTTTTACAGCTTTTTTTTTTTTTGAGATGGAGTCTCGCTCTGCCGCCCAGGCTGGAGTGCAGTGGCCGGATCTCAGCTCACTGCAAGCTCCGCCTCCCGGGTTCACGCCATTCTCCTGCCTCCGCCTCCTGAGTAGCTGGGACTACAGGCGCCCGCCACCGCGCTCAGCTAATTTTTTGTATTTTTAGTAGAGACGGGGTTTCACCATGTTAGCCAGGATGGTCTCGATCTCCTGACCTCGTGATCCGCCCGTCTCGGCCTCCCAAAGTGCTGGGATTACAGGCTTGAGCCACCGCGCCCGGCCTAAAATGTGTAACATTTTATGGAGCTATAGGACAAAAGTCAGGATGAAAAGTAATCTGTCTCTGGTGCTACTTTAATACCTTCCTGACTGGTGCCAGTGGCTAAATTCAAGCAGTAAGATGAGAGGGCCATTAAGGCCTATTTTAGCAAGACATTATAGCAAAGACCTTAACACTCAAAAGGTTCAATGTCTTTTAGCCAGGGAACTATTCTTTAATTCTTCCACCTTGATATGATTTCAACAAATTATGATACCTGATATTATTATTAATGCATTTTTGTAACATTTGACAAACATCTCCCAATATGTAGACTGCCACTCTCCTGATGCTAATCAGTATCAGACAATGAAAGTAAATTTTTCTGCTTTTCTCGGCTTTTACTCAAATTCATTCCTTAAGTTAGTAAAATACTTTCATTTGGCCATCATTATTTATCAACACTAAGAAACATGCCTATTGACCAAGTAAATATACTAGGAATTCAACTTATCTACAGGAATGTGGACAAAGACTGACATATCAAGACAAGGCACTGGAGTGGAAAGCCATGAAAATAAAATGCTCAGCAGCAAAGGGATTGTAACGGTTAATTTCCATATAGTGGAATATTATAGTTATTAGAAATGACATTCGGGTAAGGATCTGATTGTGGAAACTGATACACCCTGTCGGAGAGCTACTTAGTATTTATCACAGCTGCATACATACCCTTTCACCCAACAGTTCCACTTCTGGGAATCTAGTCAACAAATGCACAAGTTGCACAACCAAACTATGGTCAGATACGTGTGTTGTAGGACTTATGAAACTGGTACCAATTTAATATTCAAATGGGATTAAGTCATGGCAATCTATTTAATGTATACTTCGTGGTTACCAAAGAGCTATGTGCTGCCACAAGGAGAGTCAATAGTGATTGAAAAAGGCAGAACACTAGGATAGAACTATGTTTTATGCACACATTTGCATACACTGAAAAAACTTAGTCACTTAAAATGAGGTTGTACAGATTTTAGATTTTGTTTTTAAAGGCCTGTATGGTTTAAAACATGTTTTGGGAAATAGACATGAGCAGTGAGTAATCGGTGCCAGAAGAGCAGGGCAGAGAACTACAACCTACAGGCCAAACCCCACCCCACTGCCTGTTTGTATGGCCTTCAAGTTAAAAATTTTTTTTAATGTTTTAGGTGGTTTAAAAAAAAACCACACACTATGCCTATTTGTTTACAAATCGTCTATGGGTGCTTTCTCACTACAATGGCAGAATTCAGTAGTTGAGACAGACCTGTGGCCCACAAAGGCCAAAATATTTACTGTTTTAGAAGAAAACATGAATTGCAAGAACTTGGCCCTACTTGGTTGCTCAGTCCTAATGCATCCTGCTTAAAACATAAGGGAAACAGGGCCAAGTTCAATCTAGTGCAACCAACCTATCACATCTAAGCTGCTTTTGCCAGATCTGATATCTACTCCTGACCTTAAGCCAGAAGACTTTGTAAACTTACTAGGTTATAATAAAACTTAAGCACTATCGATATTTACTAATAGATCATGGAACTATTTCAAAAGCAGTCTCATGGTGAGATGGATCAGGAGTCTTAAAAAAAAAGGAAATATGCTATTCTAGTTGGTAACATGGGGTTAAATCTTTTCTAATTTCTAAAACATTCTGTCCCCATAGATAAGGTGATTGGCAGAAAGAAAAAGTCCTTAATGATCACTATAAAATGCTCTGCTACAAGGAACTTAAAATCTAAACATTCAGGCAGTAATTATATGTTTCTACAATCCACAAGAAAATGAAAAAAATCGTGTGATCAATTCAGTAGTAGAGGCACAGCTTGGTATCAAGTCTACGTTCATACACTTAGGAGTGCCACCCAACAGGGCCATACAAGATACATGAAATGAGATCAGCTCAAGGGTGACAAAGATGAAACTGGGAGAGGGCTGGGGAGACCCGAACTCTTAATATTCAGTTCCACACTTAACAGGAAAAATTTTAGTCCAGCTCCCAGCATGGCAGCTAATGGCAAGTTACCCAGTTAGTACCATAAAGCCAACTCTTGGAATAGACCTAATTTCCATGATAAAATGGAGACTAGTGCAGTGGTGAATGTATAGTTAAGAAAACAAACAACATATTACCAGTCCAGGTGGTAGATTACAGATTTTTATTATTTACACTTCACTCAAATTATTACATTCAGCATGTTTTGCTTTTTATGTTATTTAAAATATAAACCTTCATATAATTCCCTAAGATGGATGTCATACCAAGTAGCTAAATGAAATACCATCCCAGCCCAAAAGTACTTATTCGAATATTACATTTTTCTTATATAAAGCAATAATTTAGGTACCCTATTATGGTATTTTCTTTTTTTTGGCCAGTTTTTCTAGATAAGGTTGTACTGCTACTGCAACTAACAAAAAAGATGTGGCGGGGCCGGGCACGGTGGCTCATGCCTGTAATCCCAGCACTTTGCGAGGCCAAGGCGGGCAGATCATGATGTCAGGAGATGGAGACCATCCTGGCCCAACATGGTGAAACCCCATCTCTACTAAAAATACAAAAAATTAGCCGGGCGTGGTGGCAGGTATCTGTAGTCCCAGCTACTCGAGATGCTGAGGCAGGAGAATCGCTTGAATGCAGGAGGCAGAGGCTGCAGTGAGCTGAGATTGTGCCACTGCACTCCAGCCTGAACTAGAGCGAGACTGTCTCAAAAAAAAAAAAAAAAAAAAAGGTGGCTAGAGCAGCCAAAAAAAGGTTCCTGAAGCATTTAACAGAAAAATAAAGCCTATTCCTATCATTTCCATGATCCCATTTAGTTCCACTTAGGTCACTGTGTTTATAATGTCTTGTAGGATAGATTTCCTTCCCCATTCTCCACAAAACCACCATAGCACCTGTCACTTTTATCTATTGGTTTGTATTTAATCTTATTTGTAAGTGCTTCTTTGAAATTGTTTTACAAGTACATTCTTGGTGTAGAGTAAGGTTCTATATACAGTCGGCCCTCCATATCCATGGGTCCACTTCTGTGGATTCAAACCACCAGATAGAAAATATTCCAAAAAACATTGTGTCTGTAGTCAACATGTATATTTTTGTCATTATTCCTTAAACAATAGTGTAACTATTTACATAGCACTTACATTATAATAGGTATTACAAGTAACCTAAATATTAAAGTATGCGGGAAGATTTGTGTAGATTGTATGCAAATACTGCATCATTTTATTCCAGAGACTTGAGCATCTGTGGATTTGGATAGCCAAGGGAAGTCCTAGAACCAGTTCCAGACAAATACCAAGAGATGACTTGACTTTAGACCTAATATCTTGCTAGACAGCCTTTGAGAGGACTCAGGGTAACTAGAGCACAAGCAAATCACAGCAAAGTAGACTACAACAAATCAAAAAAGTCAAAAAACATAAAGCTCCTATCAACACCTCAAGATTTTAGAAAAGCCTCTTAACAGGCAATTTTAAAGAGACTGGGTCCCACTATGTTACCCAGACTGGTCACAAACTCCTGGACTCAAGTGATCCTCCTGCCTCGGCCTCCTAAAGTGCTGGGGATCACAGGCGTGAGCCACTGTGCCTGGCCTGGGCAGTCGATTTTCAGGAAGCCGCTTATTAATGTTCAGATTCTTCTCTCCCAGAACTTTGCAGATGCTGCTGTTCCCTCTGCCTGGAGATGTTCATCTGGCCTGAATCCAAAAGTCTGTCCAAGTCACTTCCCTTTTCCATGACAGAGTTACAACTATTTGTCTGTCCCCCTTCCCCATTAGAGTAAAAGGTCCCAAAGGAAAGCTCCATGCCATTAACTCACCACCTAATGATCCCCAACAACTAGTGGGCAAACATGAAACACTTTTGTTGAATAATGTTTCCTTTAGCCCAGGGATTACAAAGTCAAAGGCTTACAAGGAGGAAGGACTAGCAGGTGTGCTTGGAGGAGACTCTAGCCAACTGGAGAGTAGCTGGTAAGAAGACATGACATGCTCTTATGGTGTTTGCTACTCAGATCCTCTCAGTTAAGTCCCATGCACGAAGGTGGGTCAGGTCTACTGTTGCCAGATCTTCAGCTCATTCAAGTTACCAGAATCCTGCATGCATTTTCATGTAAATCTCCCAATTTTTAAAAATGTTGGCATCAAATTCAGAATGTTTTAACCAGCCATACTGTGTGGGCCAGGGAAAACAGGCCCAAAGGCCAGGTGAAGCTGCAGTTTTCAACTGCTGCCTTGGCCTCTCCCAGAGCCCCTTAAGTCCTAAGAAGGCTCAGTGATCACACTGGCAGTTGTTTCATCCCACTGGTTGAGAAAGACAGTCTTATCAAAGCAATGGGGGATTCTTACCAAAACTGCAAAGGAAAAAAATGTGATACCATGAAATTAGAAATTCACGGCATTTGAAATGAAAATGACTTATTTCTGTACTTCTGTAACTCACAAATTTAGCAGACATCATTTAGCCATATTTTTGTAGTGCAACAGATTTAACTCTGGAATTTCATGGTTTGCAAATCACTACGTGATACTAGCTATAACCATGAGCGATACTACAGGCAGTAAATGTTGATCTCTATTTCGTTTCTTGAAGTTTTGTGTGGTTCATTTTTAAAGTGAGATTCAGTTTCCTTAGCTATAGTCAAATGCACCCTTTAAACAACCCAAGAACTGTTATGACGACTGCTGTTATTATTTCAAATTTTACAATATTAGGGTTGTTAACAATTTTAGTCTGCATTAAGCTAACATTTGTTACCAAGCAATGCATTTATTTGGAAGGATACCAGTTACCAGTCATCAAAAGCTTTTGTATGTTGAAAATGTAATTTTAATAGTTAATTCTTCATCTTACATAGGAGCACAATAAAATACACCACAATCTGAAGAAACTCCAGAATTACGAGAAAAAGAGTGAAGAAAATTCAGATGGGCTACAATATCCATTACCTTAAACTGCAAGAGACAAGGTTCCAACCCAAGGTTAACATTTATGTATTTATGACTGGCTACATTTATGACTTAAAAATTACAAGAATCAGGAATTAGATATGGAGAGAAGTGGGAAAGAACAGTTTTGTGAGGGGAGGAATTCTGTCAATAAAGAAGAAAAATTACTGAATTCCAAATTAAAGAATAAAAGGAGCTCCCATAGCAAATACTAGAGGGATGAAAGCAAGAATCATTAATTGAGGACTTGCTACTCTCAAAGGAATAAACCTTTCTGATGACACACAAGCTGGATGCTTGAGATCTGCTCATCAGGTTTATAAGGAAGACTCACAAATGCCTCAGCAAATCCCAAATGATTATCAGATCAGTGTTTCTTAATAACACACATGAAAGGTTACAGATGAAATTTTCAGACAAGAACCAAGAAAAAGGTCATAACCCAAATTTTAGGCAAAAATGTGGCACAACTGTGAAAGTCCTACATGTCAGTCACAACTGCTATCTTTGCTGTGACTTTCCTGTACAGTAATTTTTAAACATTGTGGCAAGACACCAATGATCGTCTAATCAGACAACACAAACACATTTATTTCAAATTCCTAGGAGGTTAAAAAAAGGTCAGATACTGATGCTTTATGCATGCTCAGGGCCAGTTTATAAATACTCCATTCAGTACTATCTTAATACAAATCTGCATCAGTGAAAAGAAACTGGTGAAATCCACCTCTTGCCATTCAATTTGCCAGATGGTGAAGACCAAGACAGAATGTTCCATAGTTTTAATTTTAAAATACGATTGTCACATTGGGAAAATAAAATAAACACAGTAAAATAAACTGTACAAAGGCAAAGTAGAATAACAAAAAATATTTTACTAAAACATAAGATTTACAGAAGTTTCCAGACAAGCCATACAAAATGGTCACAAGCTTTTTTTGAAGGGGGGAATCTACACTTGACAGCAATGTTATTAGTGAGGGCTGTGATGTTTGTTTAATGTTCCCATTTTGGTTCAAACAATCAAGCTTGTCCATCTACAGCGTCTAAATAAAGTTAGACTTGGCTAGAGAGCATATTCTAAAGACCTGGTTAGCTGCTTTTAACCAATGCAATTAGATCACCAAAAAAGGGGGAAAGGAGCCCATAAAATTAAAAATAAAACTACCTCCCCCCTCAAAAAAAATAAAATAAAATAAAGAAAAACACCCACACCCCTGCAGCTAACCTGACAACTACCTTCATTCACAGTGCTTTATACTTAAACCAGGATGGGGGAAATGAATAAAAGCAGGGAGGGGCCACTGCTTTTAAACGTTTCACAACAATCCAGATGATACTTCTAGCCTCTGTTCATGCTTTATGACAGTGAATCAGGACAAGACATAGATTTGCTAATGTGCATTTAATCACCAAAGGACTGAAGATGTCTGGGCTTTTTTATTCTGTAATGTTTCTAAGACTGTGTCCATTAAATGCAAACAAAAAGGAGGAAGTCTTGGCAGAACAGGAGAAGTGATGCACACTTGATGATCGGATCAATTTAAATATTATTCATGGCATATAGCCTAGTCCATGCTCTAGCTGTAGACAGAAACAAACGCACGATTATTATTTTACTTAGTTCAATATGTTACTTTCCAAACTATAAATGGCAAACAAACACTATTAAGTTAATTATGGAAATGTCATGCTGTAATCTCTTAAATTCATGCCTTTTTCTATAAATCGGATCAGGGCTGAAAGATTTTGTATACGTCCAATTACCAAAACACTACAATAAAATTCATAAGTTCTAGAAAATTCAAGAGGATGAACCAAGTTGTCCATTTCTGGATACACAATTCTCCCCACTAATTTTCTTAAAATCTGTAGCTGAAGCTTCTTGACTCCAAATTCTCTAGCCATAAACAGCTGAATAATCAAATGGGTTACAAAAACAGTTCAAAAGTTTTCCAGTGTTCTTTACATATAACTAGATAAATGGTACGCACTCAGTATTTGTTAAAGCAGGTGTAGTTACAAGAGACTCCAAGATCTCCCAATTACAGGTTGTCTTTAAATTTGGGGGGTTCCCATAGCAGGCCATTTTGTTATAAGAGGTATTTACATACTATAAGCAGGATCTCACTCATTACAATTTTTTTTTTTTCTATTTCTTTTCCTTGCCAAGAGAAACTTTAGAAAAGTTTAAGTGGCAATACAAATTTGTTTGTAAGAGTGGAAGTGGTGTGAAGGAGAATGAATATTAGATACCTGTTTCTATGGCTTGGGCTTCGTTGGTCTTCCACTGCTCCGCTACATCATTTGCTAATGGATCATCTGGATTGGGAGCACTTAACAAGGCCTGGATCGATAGCAGAACTGTGCGGATCTGCAGTGCTGGGGACCACTTATCTATGAAGGCAACAGGCCCAGTATGATGAAGCATGAAAAAACAGGCCCAGAACTGCTTCACTTCCCTCCCGCAGACCTCTCTGGTCTTTGTATATTTACATTCTAAACATGGAATGCTTAAGAGAAAAAGGAGAAAGCTTAATAATAGCATATGCTGATAAAGATAACACTTACCTTTCAAAATATCTAAACATATTCTTCCCAACTTGTCTACATTAGGATGATAAATTTTGGTCATGAAACGTACTTTAGGGGCTGCCATTGGGTATTCTTCAGGAAGGAATAGTTCAAGTTTAAAAGTCCCTCCCTCAAAGGGGGAATCTTGAGGGCCAGCAATGACCACATGAAAATAACGGGCGTTGCTCTCATCTGGTTCTGCTTTGATGCCAGGAACTGGTTCTGCCAGCAAACGCTGGGTTTCCTACAACAGAAAAACAAACACATTTGTGAAACAAATGTCATTTTACTAGACACCAAAAGTAAAATTAGAAAGTTCATCTCTTGGAAATAGGCATAATAGAACATCTCCAATCTTCCAACAGGATTTATTTTGCTTATAAAATGCAAAATTCAAAAAAATACCATTTAAATAATTACAACCAGCTGAATGCAACTGCAAGCAAATACCAATGATGTTGTCATACATTTTGGCTACAAATGTCTACAAATACATTGATAATAAAATTAGGTTAATAAAACTGATATTTTACTCAAGTAAAATAAAGTAGCATTAGGATTACATAGGTAAGGCAACTTGCTCTAAACTCAACCAAAACCAAGCTATTTAAATTTAAAAAGTAAAATTGGGATTTTTTGGTGGTGTTTTGTTGTTTGTTTTTGAGACAGGGTCTCACTCTGTCACTCAGGCTGGAGTGCAGTGGCAAGATCTTGGCTCACTGCAGCCTCGACCTCCCTGGACCCAGGTGATCCTCCCAACTCGGCCTCCGGAATAGCTGGGATTACAGGTGTGCACCACCACGCCCAGCTAATTTTTGTATTTTTAGTAGAGACAGTATCGCCCTGCTGGCCTCTTGGCCTCAAGTGATCTGCCCGCCTTGGCTTCCCAAAGTGCTAGGATTACAGGTATAGGTCAACACACCTGGCCAAAAATTAGTTTTCAAACCACTGAAAACTTCCCCTCTGAAAAATGTAATGGACTAAAGAAAGGAGATAAGAGGCCCAGGTACCTGAACAGGGCTAAAGAAATATACTTAACAATGCTCATTAGTCTAAAATTGACAATTAACTTCAGAGGAACCTTAAATACTCCCAACAAACATATCATTAGTTCTCTCTTTCATCATTCTCCCTCTCTCCTAATTAGCTGAGCGCGGTTGGCCGGCGCCTGTGTCCCAGCTACCTCGGACGGCGGAGGCAGAGGCAATGGCGTGAACCCAGGAGGCCGGCTTGCAGGTGAGCTGAGATCGGGCCAACTGCACCCCAGGCCTGTGCCAAAGAGCGAGACCTCCGTTCTCAAAAAAAAAAAAAAAAAAAGTAAAGTGAGGTTCTCTTCAAAGGGATTTCCTCCACATTATTAGGATATAATAGTAATTCTTTAGAAGCAAATTAGTCAAAGACTCGGTGAAACATTCTTAAATAATCTGTACCGTTAATAAAGAAGATCAATTATTTTATGTTCTTAGGCTCCCACATTTAGCCTAATATTTGACCTGCATGTTATCTTGCTGCAGGCAAGCAGTTAGGTCATAAGCTGTCCTCTAGCCTTATTTAAGTTGTTTTACCTTTCTCAGCATTCCCACAGTGGTCTCCTCTTCTGGTTACCCTCTACCTTACTTCTTTAAAAGTCTAAGTTGCTAGCAATCGAGGGAATAATATAGAATGTGGAGGTCCAATTCGAGGCCGAGGCAACCGACAACAGCAGTAGGTGGACGCGTCAGGTTATAAATGACCT